CTAATATACCTTAATAAGACTCTGTGGTGTTTAGTTAGCAGATAAAGGTCTAGACGCAGCCGTAGCTTCTAGCTTCTAGCCTAAGGTGCTAGTTGGCCTTGCGTATCGCATTTCAACAGGCTCAGGAACATACATAGACATTCTCACCACGCCAGTGGCTTTATTCCTTGACCTTAAGGCGGTGTTTGATTTTATCGTGGGGTTCCGTGACAGTCTGCCTTTGAAAGGCGTACCAGAGAAGTACATCACACTTGTACTGACTTTCTACTATACTGTTTGAGTCACAACTTATGACGAACAGTCATTCGAATTGATTACTTCAATTCGATCTCTGTGCTAATGTGGTTTGGCAACTTGGACTGATGTACATACATACGAAGTCCTACGTTGTAGCTGACCGACTGGCTTCAAATGGTTCCTCAGTATCGTCCACTTACTCCATTTTTATTTAACTTTGGCATAGACAAAAAATTAAAGGAACTGAAGCAGCAACCAAAAGTGTATGGTTATACTTTGTAGAACTACATATACATTTACCTATTCTCAGTTTATTTATATACTTAGCCTGTCATTTTGACTCTATAAAACTAATAGTCTATGTTAAGTATTTTGTTTAGTCAAGTATTATAGAAGACAAAAAGATTACAGAATTTGTGAAGCTACGTGATACATTAAATGACCCAAGTACGTCCTTAGAAGTGGTAAGAATAAAATACACTAAGCTTATTTAGTGTCTTGCTGTCTTCTAGAAATCAAATTAATTCATGAATAAAGTAACTAATGATAATAACGATTATTTTTGTCCGTTACCCCCAATAGATCAGTCAGTCAGTCAGTCAGTTGCAACGTAGAACTTCGTACGTAAGTACATCAGTTCATGTCGCCATACCACATCAGCACAGAGATATAATTGTCAATTCAAATCCAATAGTAGAAGAGGTAGTAAAGGTATTAGAAGTAATCGGAGAGGTTAGGATTAGAAGATATTATTCACGAAGTATGATTCAATGAGATAAGTTTAGAAAGTAAAAACTAGAGTTGTTGAAGAACCCAGAAGATTAGGATTTGAGAGAACACAAAGAATAAATGCACCGGCGCCATTGCGAACGATTTTGAGCCATGTCATTCAAGGTCTCTAACCATCGATTACTACCATCTCGCTGACAACAACCAGGTAGTCGACAATTACCGACATGGCTCAGTCCACTTGTCGGAGACTTCATGGATTTCTGCCATGTTTTGGTTTGGCCGCCCCTAGCTTTCTTCCAACCTATTCCTACACTACAAAACAAGGCTCGACGAGGCAGTCGGTGGTTGGGCATACGCAACACATGTCCCAACCACCTCAACTGATGAAGTTTCAATACTTCATCGATTGATCTGCCATTCTTACCTAGCACCCGATTCCTAATAACAGCGTTGCTCACTCGGGTGTCCCACGATATACGAGCAATGCTTCGAAGACACCGATGATCGAAAACCAGTAACCGACGAATATCTTCTACTCTCGTTGGCCATGTTTCACAGCCATAAAGTAAGACGGAGCGAACCACTGCGCAGTACACTCGTCCTTTAGTCAGCAAACGGATATCTCGCCTACACCATAAGTGACGCAGGTTGGCAAAAGCCAATCGAGCCTTCTGTATCCGAGCTGAGATTTCGTCAGTCACCAGGCCATCAGCACTGATGAGACTCCCAAGATAAGTGAAGCGGTCTACACGCTCGACTACTTCACTCCCTATCACTAGTTCAGGTGCCGATGAAACCCAGTCTTGAAGCAACATTTTGCATTTCGAGGGGGAAAACCGCATCCCGAACATGCTTGCATTGTTGCTTAGGGTAGTCAGAAGACTCTGCATTTTGTCAGCGTCTTCACCAAACAGAACTGTCATCGGCATATTCTAAGTCAATAAGGGAGCCATCTGGTAAAAGGTCTACTCCAGAAAATTCAGACGAGGATAATGTTATATCTGGCAGGCATGTCTATGATAAAATTAAACAAGAATGGAGAGAGTGGACATCCCTGACGGACACCACTTGAAGTAGAGAATTCCGGTGACAGTTCGCCATAAGCTCTCACTCGACCAGTGGTGTTTGAGTAGAGAGCTTGTATGAGGTTAATGTACTTATTTGGTACACCTTTCAATGACAGACACTGCCACAGAACCTCACGATCCACAGAGTCAAATGCCGCCTTAAGGTCTAGGAAAACAACTATTGTAGGACGCCTAAATGTGTGTCTGTGTTCCAGGACCTGTCGTAGTGTGAAAATGTGGTCTATACAGCCACGTCCAGGTCGAAAACCAGATTGGTTTTCTCGAGTTTGCTCTTCACGAGCTTTCGTTAAGCGTCGAAGTATTACTGAGGCCAATATTTTAGATACTATATTAGTTAGACTTATTCCCCTGTGGTTGTCACAAGAAGACTTCTGTCCTTTCTTATAGATTGGGACAATCAGTGATTGAGACCAGTCGGATGGGATTACGTCCAGTTCCCAGATTCTACCTAAGATCTCAGTCAATCTAGCTGCTAAAACTGGACCACCATCCTTAAATATCTCAGGGGTCAGTCTATCAGGACCTGCAGCTCGTCCTCGCTTCAGATTTCCTAACGCTTTTTCAACTTCATTAAGACTAGGTGGACTTACGTCGATTTGCCATTCAGGATGACTGGAGATCGTGGGTAACTGAAGAGTGGCTCGAGGCCAGTTGAACTGATCCCTAAAGTGTTCTGCCCATCGACCCAGTCTCCCGGATTGAGAATAAATAATAGTCCCGTCATTTTCTGAGATAGTCTCACTTACACTAGGATTCCTAATACCAGTTTCCTTGATAAGTCTGAAAAGTTGTCTAGTGTTGCCTATCGCCGCTGCCTTTTCCATCGCTTTTGCTTTCGCCACCCACCACTGTTCGCGATCGTTACGTAGGCTTTTTATAAGTCTGCGCCTAAGTTGACTTCGTTCTTCATCATGTTCAGAGCCAGATGGGATGAGTTTTCGGGCATCCATCAGATCGGTGGATGCTACTGAGATCCACGATTTCATTCTAGCCTTATGGTCAACCTTACTAGCAGATATCACTGCTGTTTCCACAGTCAGTCAGTCAGTCAGTTGCAACGTAGAACTTCGTACGT